TGAATTCAATATGACGACTACTCTGAGTGACTTGATATTGCATACACTAAGTTGATACCGTGAATTTCTGACAGTCACTTTCTTTCTATCCCGTTTTGATATTAATCATTTAGACTAGAATACAATACTTCTTCATTCAGCAAGCTATAACATTCAGATAATCACTAACTTGTTCAATAATTGCGATTAAATGCTATCTTTGAATATTAGAAACTGAATGATATAAATTATCATGAATGATTAGATTACTTGGTTTCAGCATGATGGACTGAAGCGGGGAATTTCATTGGTACTTTAACTGCCCTTGTAGGTGAAAGCAATCAGTTAGAGTGATTATGAGCAGCTCTATTCTTGTTCATTTCGGTGGGCACAGGACACCAAGTTGACTTGAATATATATGTTCATGAAGCCTTTGGAGTCTTTATTTACAAAACCCAACTTTTGTATTTAAGAAAAAAACGTTTAAACAACCATTCTCCCCCTACTTTGATCATTAAACTTTGCTTAACCTCATTCTTTCTTCTTCTGTTTTGTGTAAGTTTAGGGATATTCAAGCGCTATCTCTTGATGTTTACAGAAAACTTATCTTGTTGAAATTTCTCAATGTCAAGATATAGGTCGTGTAGATATTCAACCAGGCTGCCTGTTTAAACTATTCACTAACTGTTCATTCAATTCATTCACATGTGTTCACCGACTCTTAAACATTTAACAGCGACATTTAATTTCGTCATTCTACTGGATATCGTTTAAAATTAATGATTCATGAATAAATCAGTCATCTTTCATAAGGATATGCTCCTGCAGAAGTCATCATAACAATCTGATTCTCATTATAATAAATAACAGAGAGCAGTTATCCTGTGATCATGCTCAATTGTTGTACTAGTTGTAATAACTAGTATTTTTTTCAAGTTACAATACCGACATGTCAGTTGTATTTCGGTCCACTGCAATCAGATATAGTAGGATGATGATAAACGTACATTCAGGTGACAAGTTCTGAACTGGTTGACACATATGTGTTTTGAATTTGTTGGGGATGTTAGATCCCCAAAACTCTCTTGATAAATGCCTTATTTTGGTTTTCACGTTTGCCAGCATGGGCTGATCAGTTGACCTTGAGATTTGTATCAAATTTTTAATGAATTCATTCTGTCTATTTATTGATATAACATAGTCACAAATATAAAAAATTCTCTAATTATCTTATCATTTTCCATCTGTTCACATGATTTTTTATTTTACAACTTTTGATTGACAATTAACAATAAATAGATTAGTTGATTCGTTGTGTTTACTTTGAATGTGTCTATGTATGTGTTAATTATCACCTCTGGAGAAAGAGAGATAAAGAGAGGCTACAAATGTTGAAAGAGTTCAGTTGTTCATTCAGTTCATCTTAACAAGAATTTGTGCGTAAATTCTCTCTCTCTCTCTGGTTTCTTGAAAGCTTTGGCTTTGTTCATTCATTCTATGAAATGGCAGCTTAATCACCTCCTATCCACCTTAGTTCATTTTATATTTAAAATGTAAAAGTAGGCGTGTAACCATAATTTAACTAATAATCAAAATAATAATAATAATTATTATTATTATTAAAACATTGAATTCATTATGTAATTGAATTTTGACAAGAAAATAAGCTGACTTTATTTATATGAATAGTGTGAATATAGTTGTGTAATAAATAGTCTTTTGATTGTTTCTATTTTACGGTTCATTAATTCTGGAATTTATCACCAGACTGTGTAGGAAAACAACCTGATTATTGTGTGAAGTTTCATCTTCGGGAAAACTAATTATAGTGCCTTTTTTCTGTTAGAATAGTGAAGGGATTGTTTTACTTGACTCATGTTAGCTAATAATTTCGCCCTAATTTAATACTGTTTAACAATATGGATAATGTTTTTACTGTGTTAGGTGATTAAAGGTGGCAAAAAGGAAGTTCTAGTCGACCTGTTTTCCGTTTAACTGGGTAAGGTCGATCTGAAATATTGAAGGGGTTGATGTTCCAAAACATCGTCATTTGGCTCCATAGTCTGGTGCGCTGTTATTGAGCAATTCTCTTACAACTGATCTCATGAAGGACTGTGATATTTGCATTTATTTTTCGCTAAATTGTATAAACAATATCACGTTTACATGATCCTCAGATTAAATTAACATGTACCTTTTAAATAGCAAAATCTTATTTCATGTTAGATTCTTTAATGATCCGATCTTGTATTATTGTGTTAGCAAATGTGTTTGAACTTTTGTGTTGTTTATCTTGGGTGCTGGATGCACCTATTACTCGACCGTAGCTGCTGCCTTGACGTGATGGGCGGACTTTCCTATCGTGACCACCCAACCAAGCTATATTAGCTGGGACACATGTTCCAACAGGTTCTACCATTCCAGGTAGGTCGATTGGAGAACGATGAGACTAAAAGCAGCTACTCAAGGTCTGAGGACGAAGTCGTACTGCTGACTGCTAAGGGGTGTGACAGCAGTAAGGTGTTTTCCTCAGACAACCATCATCTGCAGCGATGCTGCCTTCTCACAAGGAAGAAGGGAAGTGGTTAGAAAAGGTCGACCCTAAAAGTGTCACACCTCACCCTACCTCACGGATTTCCGTCTCCGTCGGTATGGGTGCCCACTAAGGGCCTTTAAGAGCGGAGCTAATACTCAAAAATCCTTTCATAAAAAGGCCGTGCGTGACCGGCCTTAAGCAGTTGTCCCTTGGGCTCTGCGGTCACGCTCCCAGGTCGTAAAGTCCAACACTAATCTACTTTCTTTTTCAGGTCCCTCAAGAAACAACCTTCCACGGTGTAGGCAGCCGGGAAGTGACAACCGCCCTCATACCCGTAACAGCACACAAGACTGAATTGGTCATAATCAAATCCTTCCTACACCTCTTAATACTTAAATAATAATAATAAAATTGATAATCTACAAATGAGTATAGTTTTATTTGATCAAATGGATATGTTTGTACTGGAAGTGAATAAAATTATCTCTTATTATCAGCTTTTGTCTACTTTCTTTAAATCATACAAATTTCTCTATTTTACTGATCTCGCTCGATTTAACCTTAAAAGTATTTACAGTTAGATAAAACTCAAAGATTGCATCGTTAAGTTAATTGTTTTTTGCAATATTGGTTTAGAATCTAATATTCTCTTATCAAAGTAGCATTACGATCGATTTTTTCAAATGTCTAACCTATTTATGCTTTTCTGTAATTATAATGTATGAAAGTTTACAACTATGAGATAAAGAGTAATGTTCCATAAGCTTTTATTCACTGTGAGGCCCGACCGTAGTTGCCACCTTGACGTGGTGGTCGAGCTTGCCTATCGTGATGATGATGTTGCTTCAAGACTGGGTTGCATCGGCACCTGAACTAGTGATAGGGAGTGAAGCAGCTGATCGCGTAGACCGCTTCACTTATCTGGGGAGTCTCATCAGTGCTGATGGCCTGGTGACTGACGAAATCTCAACGCGGATACAGAAGGCTCGATTAGCTTTTGCCAACCTGCGTCACTTATGGCGTAGGCGAGATATCCGTTTGCTGACTAAAGGACGAGTGTACCGCACAGTAGTAGTTCGCTCCGTCTTACTTTATGGCTGTGAAACATGGCCAGTGAGAGTAGAAGATATTCGTAGGTTACTGGTTTTCGATCATGGGTATCTTCGAAGCATTGCTCGTATATCGTGGGACACCCGAGTGAGCAACGCCGTTATTAGGAATCGGGTGCTAGGTAAGAATGGCAGATCAATAGACGCAGTAGTGAAACTTCATCAGTTGAGGTGGTTGGGACATGTGCTGCGTCTGTCTAATCACCGACTGCCTCGACAAGCAATGTTTTGTGGTGTAGGAGTAGGTTGGAAGAAAGTTAGGGGCGGCCAAACCAAAACATACAAGAAATCCATAAAGTCATTGACGAGTGGTAATTGTCGACTACCTGGTTGAGCTCCGTGAGATGATAATAATCGATGGTTAGAGACCTTGAATGACATGGTTCAAAACCGTTTGCAATGGCGCCGGTGCATTTATTCTTTGTGTTCTCTCAAATCCTAACCTTCTGGATTCTTCAACATCTCTAGTTTTGACTTTCTAAACTTATCTCACTGAATCATACTTCTTGAATAATGTCTTCTAATTCTAACTTCTCCGTTTACTTCTAATACCTTTACTACCTCTTCTACTATTGGATTCGAATTGACAATTATATCTCTGTGCTAAGGTGGTATGGCAAAACATGAACTGATGTACTTACGTACGAAGTTCTACGTTACATCTGACTGACTGATTCACTGTAAGGCGTCTAATCCTTGTTTAAACAATGGATGCACACTGCTGAAGAGTTTCACACTAGGATGAAACAATTACTCAGTGTTTTATGATTCAAAATCGTCATCTAACTACGCTTGAACTTAATACATTCTACAAGACTTAAATGTAAGTTATTCATTCTTAGATAACTAACTAGAACGTTAGCGAGAACCAATGAGAAATGTCGAGTAAATGTTCGATGTTTGTTAGTGTTAATGAATGAATGAATGTTACATTGATTATTATTATTATTATTATTATTAATTATTATCATTACACATTTATGTTTTGCAAAAATGTGACTACACAATGTTGTTTGTATAAGTTATCGTTTGTTTTTTTATCATTGACTGTACAAAATTAGACAAAACAAAATCAAAATGAAGAGAATAAATTTCGTCCATATTGATTATTTAAGAAAAAAAAAACAGAAACAGAAACTTTTATTTTTCCATTCTTTTCATTGGTGTTTTTTTCTTTAAATGAATTGAATATTGATCAGTTATTTTTCAAAAATGCATCGAGCGCGAAATCAAATTTCATTATACAATACACACATGAAGAATGCATGATTTTGAATTCGTTCAAACAGTTGGTAAAGATAATAATAACAATAGTAAATCAATAAAATGTTGTACAGTGTAGATCGGTTTTTCAATTACGTGTATTCGTCATTCCATTTGGTTACTGATGATCTGTTGATTATCTAATTATACACAGTGAGAAAAACCAGAGAGAGAGAGAGAGATAAAGTGAGTGATAGCATGAAAAGTAACTTTAACAGTAATAAAACTCAACAATCAAATAAAACAATGTAACTATAGTATTCTGACGATCTAATCGAATTCAATATGGAGGAGACTTTTAACGTCAGTGTGAAATTCAAATGACAGTGTAACCAATGGGATTCGAGTATCGTAACCATCGAATCAGAAGATGACGATTGTACAACATCTCAAGAAGTTGAAAATACATTAAGAAACCTAAATGGTCTGAGTTCGATCGCTGATATATTTTTGAAAGCGAATCTTCAGTGAAGAGTCCTATGCTAAGATGAAATAGTTGTCCATAATTATCCAACTGATATAAATTATGAATCAATTCCCTTGATTAGCTCAACAAGACAGATTATTATGGTAACAAGATACTTATACTGTTTCGAAAATGGGTGTTGGGGATGTTAGATCCCTAGATCTTGCTTGATGAATGCCTTAATTTTGGATTTCATGTTTCCGAGCACAGGCTGATCAACTGACCTTGAGGTTTCATTTCCCACCAGGGAAATCCTTGGCTGTGATTGGCTGCTGTGTATTTTAGTGTGCTTTTTTTGTGACTGTCCGAAGGACGTTTCTATGATGTATAAATAAACGCGATTTTTTTGCTTGAATGCATTATGCTGTCTGGGTGTTTGTAGAATATACTTTGTACGCTACATCAAGACTTTTCACTAGTCAGTAGACCAAAGTAGCCTACCTGGACACTGGATCATTGTCTCGTTCGCATTTATCGACTAAGGTGAACTCGTAATAGTTTCAAGCATATCTAGTGACGAACCTAACAGTGGGCGTTTTTTCTATTTTCCAATGATTTAAAGTAGACTTCTGCTGAAACATTGAATAACAGGTACATTTACGTTGCATAAAAGCTCATTTAAAAGCGTCAAAAACTATAGTAACATCATTTTATTGGCCTGTAGAGAAGTGTTCTATACATATGTAAAACCTAAAGAAATCTTTCCGTGACTGTACATTACTATGTCGATCTCCTATCAAATGAAAAAGTGCAACCAATAAGATATTTACTCTAAGATCTATAGTAAACTGAGAAAAACTCATAAGCTATGTGAAATCAACAAATACATTGGATTTTCAATACATGCTAGTGAGAGGTTTGGTAATTTTAACAGTGGGTTGATGCGTTCATTAGCTTTCAGATTTCAAAATCAATACCAGTATTTGTCAATACGTCTACAGTTGAATATATTCTCATCAAAACCATGTTCAAATCGAAGAGAAACATTTTATGGTTAATTATGGTTAATTATATATACTGCAATACAATAAACACTTGGTTGGTTGTGTTGTCATTGTTATACCACTGTGTATGTATTATCCACAGAGGTATGTTACAGTGATGTACATACACTGTGTAGTTAGTTAGTTATTTCGTTCATGCTCAATTGAGCAAAACTGAATCCAAGGTTAATCATTCAGACTATAATAATGTTTATTTTGACAAACATACCATTGATTTACAGAAGAAAAAGGGAAAACCGTATGGCTAATTAAAAAAAACTTACTCATCAAGAAACAAGTTTGTTTCTCCTATGGGAATAGGATTTTATGCTAATTGTTTTTTTCATGAGTCTCAAAAGAAACTGTAAAATATCAGAATTTCTCTTAACTCATTCAGATTGTTATTCTTAACTGAAACTGTGGTGCGCGCTTCTCATAAGTAGTATATGGCGCGAGTAAAAACGTAATGTCTGGCAGCAGAAGATGGGGGAAGATCAAGAAAGGAAGAAGAGTGGGAACACAATGGAATTTGTATGAAACGCATGAATAGTGAAATGTCAGACAATGGATTGATGATGATGGATTGAAGATTTACAAATTAACGGTTACGATATGGTTTTCCTATTTTACTGAGTAACTCTGTAATTTTAGTTAAATACAATTCGGTTGCCCTCACCTGTGTTCTCCTTCACTACAGAACCTTTTAAAAAAACCTTCAAAACAACTAATTGAATGTAGTGCCGTTTCAGTGTGTGATTCTCTTCGACCTTGTGCTCCAAACGTAAGTAAGTAGAAATCGAAGGTAAGCCTCTCTAGACGGGAATGAAATTACAATGACTGATTCAGTTATTTTTAAATCGTTTACTATAAACATTTGGGATTAGCCAATTGAATGGATTTGTATTTCAGCGTTGATGTTCATATACAAACTCAAACCAGGTAGCTGTTACTTGAAGCATTCAAAAATTCACATAACTATTTACTATTAGCATTACGGGGTTGTGAAAATTGTTAAGTTACACATTTTTGAAACCATGAATTGATCTAATATTAAGTGTGAATAATATTTTTTGTCTAGATTCATGGAAATCTGAATGTTAATACAAATTCCATCAAACTTTTAATAATTATTTCACTATCCCATCATCAGAGTCAGTGCAAAAAGTTTATCTTACATGTTTATTGATCGAAAGTACTCACTAAGAAAATGACTAACACAGTGGTAATATGTGATGTTGTGTGATAACGGGTTTATATTCCATATATGGAACATCATTTCTATCACAGAGTGTCCCGCCTACTGTCTACAACTGTCTGACATTTAAATACATTACAGATGATTTTGAGTCACTTAGACTAGTGATCATATTACAGTCGGACAAAAAAACTTCAGTCCATATTACAAGACAGTGCAAATGTAAGATTGATCACTGATCAACAGTAAATCAATTCTATTCATGCTATTACCAGTCATAACTAAATTGTTTCAAAACACTATATATCCCAAGCAGAGATGGATAGCAGCGGATAGCAGCGGAATCCAAAATACACATTTCGTCCCATCTGGGTCTACTCGCCACATGTCAAGACACAGATCTGGCACCGTTAGTTTCATTCGATATCGTACTATACACTCAGTCATTAAGTTCAAATAGCCATAGACTCATGGAATGGTGTAACATTTAATGCCCAATGAGAATGATCAATTTTGTGGTTTGAAACAGCAATCGAAATATTAAAACAAGCAATAACAATCTCACCCATTATAATCCTTATTTTCACTTAAATATATAAACAGTACACATATTCTTGTAATTTTACAAACAAACGAAATACCTATGTTTCACATTTTTGAAACCATGAATCGACCAATGTTAGACCACCATTAGAAACCTGGAAGCACTTGACGGCCTGTATCAGAAATGTGAAACTTAACAATTTTCACAACCTCCGTAATGCAAATTACCTGTGCTCACTTGTGACTAGCTTCGTGAGGAATCTTCTCCAAGTTCTAGTGGTGGGAAGACGTGAACAGTGAAGTTCAACCTGTTCGGGTGTAGACAGTGTATACCGAAGACTGTGTATGGGGTTGCGCAACTCCGTGAGTTGATCAAGTTAGACATTAACACCGTTAGATGCCGGCTCAGTGGTCCACAGGTTAGGCGTTCGCGCACAATACCAAAGGTCCTAGGTTCGAATCCTGCGAGGTGCAGGAGTCGTGGGTGCTCACTGCTGAGGAGTCCCATACCAGGACGAAACGGCCGTCCAGTGCTTCCCGGTTTCTAATGGTGTTCTAACATTGATCGATTCATGGTTCCAAAAATGTGTAACTTAACAATCTTTACAACCCCGTAATACAAAACACCTATGTTTATCATCGATATTTTCATAGCATACTTTATTAGTGTACTAAAATATTTTAAAACTTGACCAAAAAAAGGCTACTTTAAAGTTGAATAAAAAGTTAACCAGTGAATTAAACTGAATAAAACTCTTTATGCCTGCATGATTCCTCGCCTACAATGTGATTATTTAGTTTTTTTCTAATCAAAATGTTACATATATATAGCTGCACTTGAAATAAATACATTTGTTTGAAAAAAAACATGTTTCAATGTTCAATTCAATTGGAAGTAACAATTGTTTTTATGAAAATAATTTAACACACAAATCATTCATATAGTATGGTTTGTTGTTAATAAATAAATAATTATGGGATATGTATAAATACAATAATAATTTTTGAGGGCAGAGTTCTGGAGGTTTGTGTTTTTACACATTTGAAATCATCAGTCAAACATTGTTAGACTAGCACCATTAGAAACCTGGAAGCACTGAAAGACGGCCGTTTCATCCTGGTATGGGACTCATCAGTGGCAGTGCGCATCCACGACTCCTACCCCTCGAAGGATTCGAACCCGGGACCTCCGGCATTGTAGGCGAACGCCTCACCATCGGACCACTGTGCCGGCATCCAGCGGTGTTAATCTCTAATTTTATTATTAACCTAACAGACTATAAATACTAGACAGTTAGTTTATTTATTTTCAGTTGTATGTCCACACCGATTGGCTTGATTATTTGATATAGTATAGGGATATTGTGGTGCGAGCTACTTATAAGTAGTATATGACGTGAGTGTCAACGTAATGTCTGGCAGCAGAAGATACGGGAAGATCAAGCAAGAAAGGAAGAGTTAGAAAACAATGGAATTTGTTTGAAACGCATGAGTAGTGACAATGGATTGATGTTTTGCAACAGGAACAGTCCAGTTCGATGTGATGAACTGATATTTTGCAAATTAACGATTTACGATATGGTTTTCCGATTTTACTGAGTAACTCTGTAATTTTCGTTAAATACAATCCGGTTGCTCCACCTGTGTTCTCCTTCACTACAGTATTACTAGAGATCGGATTGAAATTTAAACAGAAATTACGTTATGCATGCCACATTTGACCATCTGATAAAATTGATGAGAAATTTTTCTCATTCCTAACATAGCTGAACTACATTAGTCAGGAATCCTTATTGGAATTCCAGGGACATCATCCAGTAAGTTGCTCCTAGCAGCTGACTATGACAGTGCGTCATCATAAAGTTGTGGCAATTGTTTGAATTTCACTGAACTCAGAACCTTCGGTCTCGTGCGCGAACACTTAACCGGTAGACCACTGAGCCGGCTTACTAGTGACTAGTTTCGTGAGGAAATTCTTGCAGTTCAAATGAGAAACCGTGAATAGTGGAATGCAAGCGTGTCCGGTGTAGTCAGTTACCTAGACAAGACAATAGATGAGATCGCGCAATATCTTGGATGGATTAGAGTTAGACATTAGAATTGTAGCATGCCAGCTCAGTGGTCTAAATGTTAAGCGTTCGCAATCGAGACCAATGGTCCTGGGTTAGATCTCTGATGGCGAGACTGGTTGACATACAATGCTGATGAGTTCCATACTACAAGGAATCAACCGTCCATGGCTTCCACGTTTCTAATAGTGGTCTAACAGTTGTCAATTCGTGATTTCAATGATATTTGTTATGCTCGTCAATTAATATGCTTGGACTATTACGAGTTCACCTTACTCGGTAAACGAGAGCGAAGACAAACGGTCCAGTGACACGATAGGTTACTCTAATCCAAGCGTCTCAATGCCTCACTAAGTAGATGAAGAAGTCTTGACAAGACGTAGAAAGTGTATTCTACAATTAGGATCAATCAACAGTAACGGAATAGGTGTACAATGATAACAAGTCCTATACCAGTAAATAAAATAAGTTATCTATTGTTCCTTTAATTTTCTGTTGGTATCATATCTGAGACTGATATATATGTATATATACAAAATATGTTGAAATTTACCTTGACCATTCATTGTATTGTGTAATTGAACTAATTGAAGAATTCATGACAATTTTTGGAATTGATCATTGAATCATAACAGTCGCAGCAGATGAAGTTGATGATGATGATGATGATGGTGATGACGAAGAAGAGGAAGAGATGGAAGTTGATGAAGATAAAGGTGAAGATAATGTTTTGACTCTTTGCATTAATGGAATTTGATGCCTATGATTAGTAGAGGATTGTAGAGAATTTGTTCGTGTTAGTACCGGTGATAGAGTTGAAGTAGTATTGACTGGATTTCTTGTTGAAGACAATGATTCTTGTGTTTTAGAACATAAAGATGATGATGATGATGTTGATTGTATATCATGATTTGTATAATTATCTAGTGGATAAATTGACGACGTTGATAAATGCTATAAATTGAAATAAAAAAGAGAAACAGTGTACAAAAACAGTTGAATATGAATTGAAAACGATGAAGAAATATGAGTAGATTGTTTGATTTAGTATAAAAATCACGGTTCTAATCATTTTAAACTAGTAATCACCGGTAAACTAGTTCATCTTCATGTAGGACTGTGCAAAGCAAGAACTTTACTGTGAAATCAAACGAGGAAACGAATGCCTAATGACCACTTTATAATCGTTAGTTATTGAAAAGACCTAGTATAGGATACATCATAAATGTGTATCCATGACCCTTACTTGCAGGAATCAAAAACCATGAATCTCATTTTCGTGCGTGCACTTTTTACCTCTGAACTACTGAACAGGCATCTAACAGTGTTGATGTCTAACTTTCGTCAATTCAAAGTATTGCGCAACCTCATCCATTCTGTTGGTAACTATCTCACACCCAACATAGTTAGACAGGTTAAGCATTTGTGGAAGACGCCGAAGTTCCTAGGTTAGACTCCCGCAAGTGAGGGTCGTGAATGTACACATTGTAAATCACAGACATCATCTGTCATTATCGATGATACTTGTTTCATGTCTAGCATGATTGAAATATATTAATTAAAACTGACTAAAACTTGAGGAATCAATTTCGAATTTCACATGATCATTAGTAGCCGACAACGAAGCAGTTTACGTTAAGAGCGTCTGAAATCAAAATGAATTTGCGACAGTTCTAGGTGAGAAGTTTTAGTTATGTATGGATATTACTGCCTTAAGTTGGAAATGTAGATGATCGTGTGCTGACATAGCAATCTAAAGTTAATGCACTCTGCTCAAGGTATAAAGGCATTATTGATCTTGAGATCTGAGAGGAGTAGGCACTGTTTTGGGAATCTTTTCCTGGGACGAAATAGCTGCTTATAATGCTCCCTAGTTTCCAGTAGTTCCCAACATCAAATCGATATTTGGTGTAAACTTCAAAATGAACAATATTTATAACGTACCTACGTACGCCTGTTACCCACGATGGAGCATAGGCTGCCGACCAGTATTCTCTAGCCTACTCTCTCTTGAGCTTCCCTTTCCAGTTCTATCTTATTTTTGTTCATTCTTCTCATGTCCATCTCTATCTCTCGGCTAAATGTGTTCCTTCGCCTTTCTCTTTTCCTTTAACCTTGATGGTTCCAACTGACGGCTTGTCTTGTGAATCAGTCGGGTGCATTGCACAATGTTTATCCCATCCATTAAGGTCTCTCATCAGAACGGCCAAGTCCTTTAATAGGAATTTCTCAACAACTGACAGCAGTCTCTCGTAGAACTGATCTTTAACGTCGTCATTGTAGTCATTGGTACGTGCGCAGCACTAGATGACATTCATTGTAATGCCCTCTTTCTTCGTTTTGAAGGATGCTTTGATGGTCCTATGTCCATGAGATTCCCATCCTATCAGTACCTTTTTTGCTTATTTGGACAGCATCAATGAGACTCCTCGTGTGTGTGTGAGGCATTTTCTTCTTCTTCAGGGCCGGAGTAAGACAGTAGCTCTCCTGAAGCTACTCTCAGTTGTCCAACTTGCGTCCAATGCGTTTCACTAATTCCAAGCACCTCCAGGTTGTATCTTTTCATTTCTGGAGTAGTCTTCCGGTCTCCCACAATATTAGTAGGACATTCCATGTACCTAAAAGAATGGTTGCTCTGGTTTTCAGAAAGGGCATCGGCCTCGTGACTTCCGAAGGAACTCGACTTACCTCATGAGACATCATAACTCTTGAGAATGAATACATTCTAACTTGCAGGGCAGAGTTAAAATGGTGTGAATTATTTTTTTGATTAGTGTTTTTTAACGAGTTAGTTTTATACAGCATTGGGTCGTCAGCCTCAAGCCCAACCCTCCTCCTTTCTCCGGGCTTGGGATTGGATATGCTGATATGATCAATCTGTTTCGATCAGAATTGGTTTAAACGTCAGATAAATGATATTATGTGTCATCAGTGAGTTGAATAAAATGGGATTTTATTAATAAGCATCAAATGAGTCTAGTTTTCACGACAGACTATCTAAAATCAATATCGGAATTGCGGAAATTCAAAAGATATTGAACAATTGACTTATTTGAATAGCTCCTCTAAATCATTAAGCATATACTACTTAAATACCGGATCAATAACATTTACACTAACATGCAAGTTGCTTGATGATCCAGTCCATGAATTATTGTTATTATTATTATTATGATCATTATCGGTTGTTTTATTGCCAATCATAGAAGTCAATTCGTTTGTTGGTAGGCCACAAGTAGTTGATTTTGCCAAAGATACATGAGATCGATTTTTATTCTCTGCATAGTTAGATGATTTATTGAATTTTGAATAAGAGGTGATCTGCGGACAAAGCGATTGATTGACATTGTTATTTGTTTGCGCTGCATTGTCATTGTACTAGTGATACAGGTTTTAAAAAGAAAAATATGCACAGATCAATGATGATTGGTTACTTTTAATTGAACTAGGGAAAATTACACTGGCGGTTATATATTTGCATTACAGGGGTTGTGAAGATTGTTAAGTTACACATTTTTTTTGAAACCATGAATCGATCGATGTTAGACCACCATTAGAAACCTGGAAGCATTGGACGGCCGTTTCGTCCTGGAATGGGACTCATCAGTGGTAGTGCGCATCCACGATTCCTGCACCTCGCAGGATTCGAACCCAAGGCCTTCGGTATTGTAGGCGAACGCCTAACAATCGGACGACTGGGCCGGCATCTAACGGTGTTAATGTCTAACTTGATCCATTCACGGAGTTGGTTAGGCGTTCGCCTACAATACTGAAGGTCCTGGGTTCGAATCCTGTGGGGTGCAGGAGTCGTGGATGCGCACTGCCACTGATGAGTCCCATAGGAGGACGAAACGGCCGTCCGGTGCTTCCGGGTTTCTAATGGTTATAGATTTGTGAAAAATTTTTTTCATTGATCTTAAATTACAAATAAGATCTGACATCAGATGATCAGTCCGTTAGTAAAGAGGAACACATAACGTCGAGAAATGGAGACAGACATGAGAAGGAAGAATGAACAAAAATTGGACAGAACTGAAAATGTTGGCTCAGGAGAAAAAAGGTTGGAGAATACTGATCGGGCTACCTATGCTCGTAAATAATAGGTGTAAGTAATGTATACACTAAACTTTTCGTTGATACTAACATTCAACACCACGTACTTACAATTGACTAGATTGATAATGTCAAAACCTGCCCTGTTAAATATATGTATCTTCCCTAATTTTCGTAAAAATTTATCCGAAACAAACAATCCGCATGAAATTTAGTAAACTAAACATATAGAATATTTATTTTATTATTAAATTTGATAGAAATGATAATACACTACACTAAGTGATGCTAACTGAATCAAGACTTTTTGATAATCTATATTATTCCTTAAGATGTTCTCGCAATGTTTCAAGAACTAAGACTGTCTGTTGGATTCGAACCCATGACGAGACTTTGTGAACCAACTAAAAACCAGGAGCCAGTTGCTTCATTCTATTATATGACTCTTCAACAGTGACCAGACATGATCTTGATTGAGACTGAAGCTAAGACTTATATTTTCTACAAACAGTACTTTGATGCCCAGTAGAGTTCAGCCAGGCAGTTAACCATAGTTGTGCACTATGCTAAACTGAACGAAATTATATACATATATATATAAGCACTCTCTATCAAACCTTGTGATTGTAGGTTTGACCCCTGTTAAGGCTATCGATGCATACTACTGAGAAGTCTCAATATTAGGACGGAACACTTCTCCACTCCTTCTTGGCTTCCACTGATCAGTTCAAGAGAGAAGCGATCAGAATCTAGTGAAGGAAAACACAGGTGAGGACAACCGAATTGTATTTAACGAAAATTACAGAGTTACTTAGTAAAATAGGAAAACCATATCGTAACCGTTAATTTGCAAATCTTCAATCAGTCATCAATCCATCGTCTAACATTTCACCAACTATTCATGCGTTTCATACAAATTCCATTGTGTTCCCACTCTTTCTTTCTTGATCTTCCCCCATCTTCTGCTGCCAGACATTACTTTTACACTCGCGTCATATACTACTTATAAGTAGCGCGCACCACAAGAACACAATGAATTAGCATGAAAATACAAAATAAGTAGACCGTTTGATTTTTCAAAAAAATTCAATTCCTTACCTCATATATTCCATTTGTATTGATTGATTTCGACAGACAATTATCACTGTTATTATTATTACTATTACTGCCATTAGTGGAATCTAATGTAGTTGCTTGTGATGCCTCACAGTAAGAATGATTCATATGTGATGTAAAACTTGTAGACAGACATGAAGAAATCAATTGTTTTTCATGATGTGACGAATTCATCTCAGGCACAACAGTATCATTATTCATACGCTGTAGATAAGGTGGTGATCCATTACGTGTGATTGTTTGAAATGAATTATTAGTCATTTTGATTAGTGCATCATTTGTTTCTTGTCGTAATCTCGCCTCACTGGTATGCGTCTCATCGAGTGACCAATCACTACTGCGTAACCGCTTTAATGGATGAGGATGGTGTTGATGTTGATGGTGGTGGTTTGTGGATTCGGTAAAAAATGTTGACTGTCTTAACTTTTTATTACCACCCATGATTAGACATGATTCATGATTAGCTGAATAGTCATTATTACCACTATTATTATTGTCAGCTTCTTCGTGATCATTTTCAACAACATCACCAAATCTATGTTGTGATCGTTGCAGATTCAAATGGGACTGACAATTACTACTAACACCGGCATTAGTAGTAGTAGTAGTAGCAGCTGTGCTACTTTCAGGACTGTTTTCACCTACAATCGATTCAGAATTCGAAGTGGAATAAGTTAAATGTGTTGTTGTAGTTTTTAACGGACCAGATGTAGTAGTACAACTACAGTTATTACTATGATCATTATTGTCTTTTCCATCAAATGTATACAAAGCTCTATGTAGACCAAGTCTAGAATCATACAATGCTGATAAATTGTCACGATGTTCATTATGTTCTAAACTGGATAAAATTGATGGTGAATGAAATAATGATGACATTGTTGCTGTGATTGGTGTTGTCGCCGTTGTCGTCACCGGCGTTGGTGTCGTTGTCGTCATGCCATATGGATAAAGATGAATACCATTTCGATTGGTCAATGCTAAAACGCTATTCATTGATCCCATTTCCAGTGATGATAAATTGGAACATAATGAAATAGGATTGGCATGATTATTATCGTTATTGTTTGATGTAGTACAATGATTATTTAACTGTTGTTGTTGTTGTTGTCGATGATGCTGCTGATGATGATGACATTCTTGTTCATGGTCTAGTTCGTCTACTTCTCCTCCTCCTCCGCCTCCACCTCCGCCTTCTTGACTCATACAAAATAACGAAGATGATGATGATGATGTTGGCTGTTGGGGTTGTTGTTGTAATGGCTGTGAAACAAGGTGTAACGGTGGTGATCGAAATCCTACCATACCACCACGACTAGGCATTGTATATAATGCTTCAGCTAGATCTGCTGCACGTTTTAAAATTATTTCACGTGGTAAACGCTCTGGATCACCTGGATGACGTGGAATAATTTTGCATAATCTTTGAAATCCATATTCAATTGTCGGATCAGTCATTGCTAGATGAACATCAAAAAAAATGCAAAAATTATTATGATTTGATATAGATAATTCCTACAATTAGAGTTATGGAGATTGGTGTGTTTTTACACATTGAAATTATCGATCAGTCAGAGTTAGACATTAACACTGTCAGAATACAGCGGTCCTCAGGTTAGGCGTTCGCGCGCGACACCGGAGGTCTTGGGTTCGAATTCTGTAACGTTCAGGAGTCGTGGACGCGCGCTGCCACTGATGAGTCAGTTCTACACGAGGACGAAACGGCTGTCCAGTGCTTTCAGGTTTCTAATAGTGGTCTAACAATGATTGATTGGTGATTTCTAAAGATGGTCTCATTTTATTAATATGAATATGTGAATGATGAATAATTTCGATGTGGAACGTAATAATATTTATATGGCAAAGGTGTAACTTAGCCAACTGTTGTTGTCAAAACAGGCTTACTGTATGGATCGAAAACATGAAGAACTACCAAAGCCGTATTCTGCAAGATACGAGTATTTATTGACAGTTGCCTGCGCATAATATTGAGGATCCGTTGGCCAGACAACACCAACAGCAACCTACTGTGGGAGAGAACAAACCAGATTTCAGTGGATAAGGAAATTAGATAGAGGCTCTGGAAGTGAATAGGACACTGTTGGGGATGTTAGATCCTCGCTTGATAAATATCTTTATTTTGGATTTATTTCATGGACCGATCAGTTGACCTTAGGATCACATTTCACACCAGAGAAATCCTTCGCTGTGATTGGTTACTAAGTGATTTTAGTGTGCTATTTTTGTGACTGTCCCAAGGACGTCTCTATAGAGTAGTATAAATAAACGCAATTTGAGTGCTTGCATTCATTGTGTGCTGGCTGGGTGTTTGTAGAATACAATTTCTACACTATATCAAGACTTCTTACTAATACGATTTTGTCAATAGATCACAGTAGCCTATATGGATGCTGGTTCATTGTTTTATTCTCGTGATTCGACTAAGGTGAACTCGTCATATAGTTTTAAGCATACCTAGAGCCGAGCGTAACAGACACATATTGAACAAAACACCCAACAGTGTCACAACACAAACCCTCACTTGGAACCCTCAAGTTAAAAGGAAAGAAGGTAGGCCACGTAACACATTACACCGAGAAATGAAGATAGGCATGAGAATAATGAATGAAAATTAGACATAACTGGGAAGGTAGGCCCACGACAGAGTACGTTGGAAAATACTGATCCGCGATCAATGCTCCAGTCGAGGTAACAGGCATAATTAAGTAAGTAAGTTGATACTGAGAACTGTATATATGTGATCAGTCTTTGGTTCGTGTATACATATCCTATGCGAATCGAATCAATTTTTAATTATTAATCATGATTTCAATCTTGAATATTGAACTGTTCAAGCCCTAAATGATATTGACATAAACACTGAACCCCTTAAACATGACAACAGCTGTCTAAACTCAATAACTCAGTTGCAAACACCACGAGTGTTTGAAGCAACCGCTCCTCCTGGATTCTAATCTCAATGTAAATATGTCTGACAAATCCCGCACAGAAAGAAAGTAACGCTTCTTTTGAATTCTACTACATTTATTCTGTCATGTAAACAAGTGAATCATTGATTTGAAACTTATCATCATCACAAATATATGTGTATATCTAATCGTCAATTAGTCAGTCAGTCTATCATCTCTTGACAAGTTGATTGAATTCTATAACGGTTAGGGCGTCCGCGCACAATAAGCGAAGGTCCTGGGTTTGAATCCTGCGAGGTGCAGGAGTCGTGGATGCGCACTGCCACTGATGAGTCCCATACCAGGACGAAACGGCCGTCCAGTGCTTCCAGGTTTCTAATGGTGGTCTAACATTGATCGATTCATGGTTTCGAAAATGTGCAACTTAACAATCTTCCCAACCCCTGTAATGCATATTCGAATTTATCATAAGAGTGGATGAAATCAATAGTTAATAATTACAGTATATATATATATATATAACTTACCAATATAAGCAAATCGACCTGGATTATTTTTACAAAATGTTTTATTTTTAAATGCCAATGTCACTTCAACAACACCAGATAAATGTCTTGGTGGAGTGTTAACACGTAGAGCATGTGGTGTAATCAACTGAAAGAGAAAAAAAAATAAGACAATGAATGAACTCAAACAATATTTTCAAACATTATTTGTAAAAGAATAAAGTTTTAAAGGAGTCTTTTGTTTTTGCCTGAAATTTATTGTGACAAGATATTCAAGCGTTTAGTTAATTATGCAACGAGTATATATTTTCCAATGACATAATGATAAGTTTGTTAATTGAACACTCGATTGGATTTCTTAATCACTTTTAATAATCCTAGAATAAATCTACACTAAGAGTAAGGATTGTCCAGAGAATCATGCATCAGGTGTCAGGCAGTCACCTACAATACTGTTGGGGATGTTAGATCCCCAGATCTCACTTGATAAATGCCTTAATCTGGGATTTCACGTTTGCCAGCATGGGCTGATCAGTTGACCTTGAGATTTTATTTCCCATCATGAAAATCCATGGCTGTGATTGGCTGCTGTGTATTTTAGTGTGCTTTTTTCTTAACTGTCACAAGGACGTTTCTATGATGTATAAATAAACGAGAGTTGTATGCTTGATTGTACTGTGATTACTGGGTGTTTGTAGAATATACTTTCTGCGCTTACAAAGCCCTTTTACTTCAGCTTTGGATTCAAAGTAGCCTACCTGGACGTTGGTAAAAGTCTCGTTCGCGTTTATCGACTAAGGTGAACTCGTAATAGCTTCAAGCGTACCTAGTGACGAACCCTACAAATGCATAAAGTCTAACGATTCCGTGGATTGATTAAAGTTAGACATTAACACCAATGGAAGCCAATACAGTGGTCTAGGTGTGAAGCGTTCGCGCATGAAACCGAAGGTCCTAGACTCGGTTCCCGCATACGAGTGTCGAGAGTCCGCCCTGCTGATAATTCCCATGCTAGGACGAAACGACCTTTCAGTGCTTGAAGACTTTAATGGCAGCCTAACACCGACCAACTCATGACTTAAATTAACCGTATCACTTTTTAAACAACCATTCTATTAACATTGTCTTAAAAGTATTAATTCTTATTGAGCATACTAAACACCTTGTTATTCATCAAACTTTAGAGAATCTTCTTATAGATTTCTATTGGGTGATCATTTCTTGTTAACGTTCTATTTGAAAGCTTATATTAAACAAACGAATTGTCAGAATATCGAACGCTTTATACTTAAACCCTTGTGACCTTATCAGAGATCGAACTCTGGACTTACAGGTCTTGTAGACTATTGAAACGTGGCTTTCTGTTTTAGTCTACACTTTCTCATGCTAATCAATTTATGGTTGGGGACATCAATCGCTTACTGCTATCCGGCATGACTATTTCGCTTCCATACAGTTGACATCTGTGTATCATAGACGCTTGTTAGAAATCTTTCTATATGAATATCTAAGTATGATCATTGTCAGTAATAGGTTTAACAAAAAAACCATTAATCACTTACTTCACCCCATACAGCAGTTGATCCAAAAACAATTTGTAGACCAGGAAAAAAATTCTCACCAATCACAGTGATTGTTTCACCACCTGTAACCCATCCTTCATTTGGACTTAGAGCTTTAATTACTGGATTTACAGTTGAATAAACTAAAAAAAAAAGTGGAAAAAAATTAAACAGAAAAAACAGAAATCACTAAAAAGTTATCTTAGTAACACTTGAAATCCATTTGTCTTAAATACTGAATAAAGCAAGAGAATTTGATTGGAAGTTGATTTACCCATCATAATCGGGACGTACAGGGTGTGCGTTTCATTCTACTTAAGACTGATTGACTTAATATACTTAAATCATCCCAGGATGAATGTCTACTCCGGGATTCGAACACAGTATTTTCAATCCCCCCCACCATTTGTCAACGCGTTATCCACCTGGCTATTGGATTCGGACAGACATTCACTGAGGCAAGAACGTATGAATTTCATTCTGTTATACTGTTGTTGATATTCTGATTGAATTTCGGTCAGTTTTAGTTGGCATACGTTCAGCTTGTACGGGAACTGCATTAATAAAGCCATTTTGGAATTAATTTCTGCTAACTAAATTTCATCTATTTTACGCAAACTCTGGACCATATTGTCTATGACAATACAATTCGTACAGATTGTATAATTGTCAACTAAGAATAACCGAAATTCAGTCAAAATACAAACAACGGGATAGTTCAAAGTGTTACATCATAAATATATTTATTCAATATTCAATAGTTTAGTTCTTTACCGAATTTACACAAAGCTTATAAGGAATGATCAGTTTTTAGTGTGATTAAAAAAATTATCGGCTACATATTGCTGATTTAAACAAGACACCATAAATTGAACAGCCTTCAACGCTAGGATTTCGTTCTCGGGTATAGGCCATATATTTCATTTTGTAAAATTGATCAAGATTTGTAGATGGATACTTATTGACTGGTAAAATATCTCAGCGCACAACGAACGGCTTAAAAGTAATTTATGAAAACTATAACTGGATTGCTTTCATACACTGCTATAGGAATCAAATGAAATCAGACAATAGAAAAGATTTGTATGAATTCAAACCAATCTTCGGGATAAAAATTGTACACATTTATTTTATAATAAATGTAATACGGGGTTGTGAAAATTTTTAAGTTACACGTTCAGAAACCTTAAATTGATCAATGTTAGACTATCATTAGAAACCTGAAAGCACTGAAAGACGGCCGTTTCGTCCTGGTATGGGACTCATCAGAAGTGCACATCCACGATTTCTGCATCCCGATGGATTCGGACCCAAGACGCTCGGTCTTGTGCGCGAACGCCTAACCTCTGGACCACTGAGCCGGTATCTAACGGCGTCAATGTTTAACTTCGATCAGTTCACGGAGTTGCACAACCTCATACATTGTCTTTGGTCATAACTGTGTACACCCGAAGTGGGTTGAACTCCTCCGGTCCCGAAGTATCACTAGAACTCAGAGAAGATTTCTCAGGGGGCTAGTCACTAGTGAGCCAAGATCGAAGGTCCTGCTATCGAATCCTGTGAGTTGCATGTATCTTGGATGTACACTGCTGATGAGTACCACACAAGGACGAAATGGCCGTCCAGTACTTCCAGGTTTCTAGTGGTGGTCTAACGCTGATCCTTTCATGGTTTCAAAATGTTATATGTAATAAGTAGTATTATTTTACAAATGATGTTTTTTTCGATACCACCAGTATTGAAATCAAGAAATCACAATCGAAGCTCAAAACTAAGATTTTCAGGTCACGTGGAGGACATATAACCCTTAGACCAGTCAGTCAGTATCCGTAGCTGTTTCCTATTGTGATGACCCAACCGAGCTATATTGACTGGAACATATGTTCCTGTAGGTTCTACCATGCCAGGCAGGTCGATTGGAGAACGATGAGACTAAAAACAGCTACTCAAGGTCTGAGGGCGAAGCTGTACTTCGAACTGTTATAGAGGTGTGACTGCAGTAAGGTGTTTCCCTCGGACAACCAGCATCAGCAGCAATGCTACCTTCTCATAAGGAAGTAGGGAAGGGGTTAAAAAAGGTCAACCCTAAAAATGTCACACCTCACCATACCTCACGGATTTCCATCTCCGGCGGTAAGGCCATTTAAAGAGAGGAGGTAGCACTTCAAAAACGTTTCACAGAAAGGCCGTGCGTGACCGACCTCAAGCAATTGTCCCTTGGGCTCTACGGTCACGCTCACAGGTCTCTAAGACCAACACTAATCTATCTTCCTTTTCAGGTCCCTACCCACGGTGTGGGTAGCCAGGAAGTGACATCAGCCCTCATACCTCTACCAGCACTAACAAATGTATGAAGTAGTTACTAACCGATGGTTGTACGATATCCTGAATCGATTGATGTTAGATACTTAAACCACTGGATACCAACCAGTTCAGTAATTTAAAGGTTCAACATTTTTGGCCAGATCTGAAAATCCTAGATTCCAGTCCTTATTGAGAAGGTCTTTGATGTCCTGTTCGGGTGTGAAGCAACGCTCACCGAAGACAGTGTATGAGGTTACTTAAGACCGTCAATTGATCGAAGTTAGACATTAACACTGTTAGATACCGGCTCACAGGTTAGACATTCGCTCACAAAACCGAAGGTTCTGAGTTCAAATCCTGCGAGGTCTAGGTGTCGTGGATAAGCACTACCGACAAATCCCATACCAGAACGAACTTCTGTCTTTCAGTGTTACCAGTTTTCTTGTGATGGCAATCTAACGTGACAAATGGGTGAGGTAGTGCAAAATCCCTAGATCAATCAGAGTTAGACATTAACACCGTTGGATGCCAGCCCAGTAGTCCGATGGTAGGGCGTTCGCCTATAATGCCAAAGGTTCCGGGTTCGAATCCTGCGAGGAGCAGGAGTCGTCGATGCCCACTGCCACTGATGATTCCCATAGCAGGACGAAACGGCCGTCCAGTGCTTCCAGGTTTCCAATGGTGGCCTAACAATGATTGATTGATGATTTCAAATGTGTATGAAAACGCAAACCTCCAAAACTGTGCCCCAAAAAAAATCTAACGTTGATCGATTCTTAATTTATAACTATCACAAAAAAGACATCTCCCATATTTTTCTCTCCCAAAAGAAAACACCTAATGATGTAATTACAAGCTCCATAATTTTTGTGTGAGCTTGTGTATGTGTATGTATACATATGATTACATATATATATATATATATATATATATATATATATATATATATATATATATGGACTCAATTTATATACATCAACCGTTAAGTAAGGTGTTATTATGTTTTTTATTTTGGTTATATCTGTTTTTCCCTACTACACTTTGTGTCTTTCTCTCTCTCTCTCTCCCCCACTCACTCACACTCTGTGTGAATGAAATGATAAACCGTCAAAATGTAGATAGAATTACTGTTTACTATAATCATAATCATTAATAATAATATTAACCAATTCAACAAGAACCAAAACACCAATTATCAATAATTTAAAAGCGAAAAATAAGAATTCACGACTCATTTAACACTATCTAATTTCAAACCCTTCAGGCATCATCATCAGCATTACTGCCAAAGAATAACACCATGCATGCATGACATATGAACATGTCGAATATTGTTCAATCTCTTATTTATTTACTAGTCTGTCTGTATGCGTACAACGGACACACACACACCTACACAGACACACACACAGACACAGACACATACACACAGACACATCAAAAAATGCAGAATGGGAAGAGGGTGGATGAATTCATTTATCTAAAAAAAAACCAAAAATCCTAAGGGAATTATTAACAGAATTTAATTTTTTTTTTATTTATTTGGGATTTAATTTATTCGTGTAAAATTAACTATGCGCCAATGACAGAAAAAGTTATTTTGGATGTGTGTGTGTGAGTGAGTGTAAATAACGTAATTAAATGAAATTTAATTAATAGTTAATTCCTATTTTTCTAAAATTTATTTTGTTTCTAATATTTTTTTTACTGTTGTTCACAATGGATTCATTTATTTATATATTTCTAATTAATACACACAGACATCTATCAGTTTTCGCGTTTGTTCAACATTTACTGTTTACACAGAGAGAAAGAGAGAGAATAATTGGTGAGTATTCTAATGATCATTCTCGTGCGCCATTGTTCAAAAGCTACATGGAAAACATACATGATTGGGTACGTGGCGGTTGGAAAGAGATGGAGAGAGAGAGTGGGAAATAGGATCCGTTGTTGTTTAGTCACTCACTCACTTACTTACTAACTAACTAACTAACTTACTTACTTACTTACTTACTTACTTACTTACTTACTTACTTACTTATGCACTTACTTATGCACTTACTTACTTACTTATGCACTTATGCACTTATGCACTTACTTACTTACTTACTTACTTACTTACTTACTTACTTACTTACTTACTTACTTACTTACTTACTTACTTACTTATGCACTTACTTACTTACTTACTCACTGACTTACTTACTTACTTACTTAGGCCTGTTACCTCCGAATAGTATTCTACAACCTACTGTGTCCTGGGCCTAACTTGCCAGTTCTGTCTAATTTTTGTTCATTATTCTCATATCTGTCTCCTTTTCTCGGTGTAATGTGTTCGTTGGCCTTCCTCTTTTCTTTTTGCCTTGAAGGTTCCAAGTGGGAGCTTGTCTTGTGACACAGTTGGTTGCTTTCATCAATGTGTGTCTTATTCACTTCCAGCGCTTCTTCCTGATTTCTTCCTCCACTGGAATCTGGTTTGTTCTCTCCCACAGTACGTGTGTTGCTGATGATGTCTGACCGATGGATCCTCAGTATTTTGCGTAGACAACTGTGCATAAACACTTGTATCTTCTGGATGATAGCTTTGGCAATTCTCCAAGTTTACGCCCCCATACAGTAAAATTTTTTTGACATTTGTATTGAAAATTGAGACGGATGTGTTTGTTGATAGTTATTTTGAGTTGCAGATATTGTTCAATTGTAAAAATACAATATTACATCAAATCATTGTAGGATAAACTTTCGCTTTCATACTGTATGGATATGTAGTGCTTGAAAATTGTTTACTTAAAACCATTTCTGTGTTCAATGACGATTGGAATTTTCTTGATACTATTTTGAAGAGTCCCCCTCTTCAAACTATCATACCAGGCTAATACTCTAGAATGGAAACAGACTTTTAGTCAGTCAGTCAGTTACAACGTAGAACTTCATACGTACGCACGTACATAAGTTCATGTTGCCATAACACATTAGC